CTTGGACGACATGCTTATTCTAGTTTAGTAGCGTCACGTTATGGGTTTACGGCCCTACGGCGCCCACTAAGGCTAAACAGAGTCGCGAGATAAAATACCACGCCAACGTTTTTATTTTGAAGCAGAGAGCAAGGTATAGACGTAAATGGTCAGGCCCAGACGGCTCACAGGGATTGTCACTGATAGTCGGATGATGATGTTTAGATTTGAAGAACGCAGGAACTGCTTTGAACATGCGCCCGTAACCGTCGGAACGTGCGACGGCGGCGCCGGGCGGGCTGCCGTCTGTGCCGTCGGCGCGGGGTTCGTGCGACAGACGGTGTTCCCAGCGGCCGGCGTGTGACTACTGGCGGGGGTGTACACGCCGCAGGAATTTCCCGACCGGTCGGCTCTGCAGACGCCGGTGGGTGGGCGTGTCCCGGCAGGAATGCCATGAGCCCGGAGAGCCCGGCCGCCTTCTGCCAGTCACCGCTGACAATCTAGCAACAAGGTCAGCGGCGCCGCCCCGCCCGGCCGGCGCGGAGGTCAGGCCATTAAACCCATTACCGATACAGGATCAGAGCGATCGGCAGACCGGCGCCGCTCATTACCGATTCATACGGAGCACGCGGAACCATGAGACGGGCTCGCCGCCCCCACCGCCCCCCCCCCCCCCCCTCCAGCACCGGCGAACAATCCATCGCACCTGTGGCCATAAGATGCATCGGTGAAACGCACCGAAACAAACGGCACTGGCGCCCGTTCTCCCGTATTGGGTGAAATCGTCCGGTGGTGGAGCTGGCTGACGCCGAGACCGATACAAGACCGACACAATGACACCCACGAGCGAACCAGGGAGACGGCGGAGCGCCGAGGGGTACCCTCAGCGCAACCACTTTCCACCGACGGAGCCCTGGGACTACACTCTGGAAACGGGCTTCGCTAACGACTGTGCCACCAGGCGCTCTAATCACCAAGGTCATACGTCATATGCAAAAACAGCCGCAGGATTTCGATAACTGCTCCGTTAATCCCTTCGATGCATTAGCAACAAACTGGAATAGCGGCCACTTAGTCTCATACCAATGGCTTAGCAAAACGACCATTCTTGGGCACCGCGATGAATAGTCAAGATTTGTAAAGACAGTAAGCTTGCAAGGACTGTCAACGTACCAGTGCGCTAGTTAAGGTTTAACGAGCATCCCAGAGGAATGCGACTTCCTGGAGTTTCAGCTTGCGGGAGACATGAGCAGACAAATTATCTAGGATACAAGGACGACCTTCACTGCTCCGAGAACAAGACCGATTAACAAGTAGAGCGTAAAATAGTATTTTTCATTTAGTGGCAGCCCTGTATTTACCATTCGATCATGATTAAGCATTCTTAATAAGCTGTGTTCAGGCATGAATTGCGTCTGGTGACGTCATCCTTGAAAAGGTCATAGCTGGAACTCTGAACGAAGCCAACTACCTGGCGTAGGTAAAGGTTCGAAAAGAGGAAGGATAGTATGATCACCGATATGTTTAAAGGATAGGTATGTTACTGCCAAGGCTAAATGCTTAATTTGAGGTTATATCATTAAGCCCACCAATGGTCAGGAAGGTCGCTGAGAACCAAATCATCATCCGCAGCTAGAAGTTAAAATCTGTATAGCGAACAGCATGGATGCTATATCGGTCCGTGGCATGCATAGCACCAACGTTTTATTATAACACTGCTGTTATCGTTGCATTTACGAACGGTATCCGCCCCAGCAGTGGGGAACAGGACCTTGAGACGCCGCCCTCGGTAGATCAATCAAAGCCGAGTCAACAGTGCAGCTCCCGCCGACATCTCTGTCTCCATCGGGGTTCGGAATGCGCCGAGGCCGGCTGTCAGCCGTCCTGGAGGCACTAACAAGACTTCCTGCCGTGCACGAGAACGCCCCTGTAGAGGTCAGCGGCGGCGGGGGCGGCCCGAACCACACCTGCTGCCGCCCTTGACTGCCGGCCCCGCCCTGCGCCGCCGGCACCGTCGGACCCACCGCAGCCGCCGGGGGTCGACAGTCCCGTGGAGTCTGTGTTCGCAGGACAGGTCGGCGCACAGGGCTGCTGAGGCGCCGCCCACGCGCGGACCGTGCATGCAGCGGGTGCGGGACTTCGTAATTGTAATATGAAAACAAGAGAAAGGAAGAGTGGGAATAGTTAGCATTTCCTTCCAAACGAAACAGTCAATTTCCGCAGCATCCCCGAGATCTGAAATAGACTCGCGCATGCTTTTGGTTCACTGGGTGCGGCATTTTGATGATGAAAAGAAAACACGAGTAAGTTAACCGAGCACCGTGTGTCGGATTAAGTTGTTAACCCCACACTGCGCAGGTCCCGCCGCGATGCCGCGGGCCGCAGCCACGGCCGCGTGTCTCGCGGCTGGGACCACCACCGCGGCGGCGGCGGCGGCGGCGCAGGAAGCAGCACCAGTGACCCGAAGGTCAGGCCGCCCCCGCCGTATCCTGACGCATCCATCACAAGCGCAGCACGAGCCAGCGCACGCGGAAATTACACCCAGAAAATGGACCGACGGACACCAATCCAGCTAGGCACCTGCGCGCAAGGGAGCGCTGGGGCCTCGCTAATAAACTCGACACACAAACCTCGCCAATCGCCCGATGGTGATGGACCGGGTTCGCGAAAGGAAAGTTGCGGAAGTTAGCTAAAGAAAGCAAAGGAGCGAAACATCCGAATTCCTCATAGACGGTAGCTTAGCTTACCGCAGCTTATGAATAATGCCAGCCGCGTATCATTCGCCTCGAATAAAATTGCGCCATCTCTAGCGCGACTTAATCCCCCATCAAGCTTGCCGGTAAAAGCTGCTGATTATTCATCATTTGCCACAGCATTGATGCAGTCCCAAAAGCGGTAGCAACAATTTCAAACACTCATCGTAACTGGATAAATATGAGGCGGGTTTATCAACACGACAAATGGCGTAACCGTTTAGTAGCACAGTAATTATGCGGTCAGATATAGCTTTGGGACAAATGTCCGCGGGAAAATGTCGCCTAAAAATAGAAGTGAAAAACCATTTTGCACACAAATCACGTCCACTAGCTGCAGTGCGTCACTGTTGACTAGTAAGAAGCAAGAGTGGAAGTTGCTATTGCAAATATTACAAAGCATATTCAACGGAAATCGTCGCAGCACAGTTCCAATACGTGACCATGTGTTTCAACTGTAAATTGAGCATGTGGCAATAAAATTGACGATCAATGCATTTGCCGAGACAACAGCAGTGGCAATATGCATCAGCATGAGACCATCGCATACCCTAACTTAGGGTGTCTTATCAATAGCCCAAACCAGTTTTCAACTTATTTGCCACACAAATTTCATTTCGCGCACAGGAGGGTAATGGAAAGGCCAAGCACCCTGCCGGCATAATTATATCACGAAGTTAATCATCTGGACTAACCTACAGCAAAGTGATATCGCAGGCGGGTCACTGTTTTCTAGACCTTCGTGACTGAACACTGAACAGTCATTCGAAATACTTAGCGCTTACAAGGCAGTGGGCAAATGGAAATGCAGTTTCAACGAGTCCGCCGCCAGTTGAAACGTGTGCACTGTGCACACAGCAGTCACCGCCTTTCTGTCACGTCCCTACTGCAGAAGTTGATCGTCATCTTCAGGGACAGACAAAAACCGTTATCGACAGCGCCAATCCGCGCAATGTCCGCCGTCCCAACTTACTATCACAGGCACACCCCGGACACATAAAGTTCAGCCAACCCTCGCCAAGTCTCGTCAATCAATCCCACGGTAGTCATCTTCTGAATCACGTTTCAATAGATCGCGATCGTGCCGGGCGACTCAGTCCACAGTATTGCGAAAAAGGGACCGCTCCGTTGTGAAAAATCGTCACGCAGTGATGGACATGCCCCGGGCTTTGGCAAAAACGGCGGACAGCGGACTGCGGACAGCAGACGGGTATGAAGACTGACGGGCACAGCGAACCCAGTTGAAAAGTGAAAGTTTTATGAGCACCACCAATGCCGACACTGGGTCTTAAACTGGCGAGAACAAACGCGTTTCCCTTTTTGAAAGCCGCTAGGTAATTCGAATAAGTATAGGTTCCACCGCGAACGAGGCATCACATCGAGGTAACTTTATACAGCGGAACGTAAATGACGGTCATTTTCATTCCACGATACAGGCCCAATACTGGATAATCGTATGATAATCGCTCCCACCATTCTAAATAGTAACATCGCGGTGCCTGAAAAAGTCCATTGGACCGTGCCACCCAGCGTTCACCAGTTACCACTGCCAACCGGTTTTGTCAGAAGCGTTAAACATTGTGACCCAGTCATCACTGTGGTATGGCCCTCTGCAAATTTGGTCAACAACGCACCGGTATCCATCCAAGTATGAAGCTCGGAGCCATTGTTGAATCGCAGCGCCCGTATGTGTCGTTCAGTTTAATTCCGTGTCGTCTCATTACAAACAATGGCTGTTGTTGGCCTTGCGCTTATTTAGACTATCACGTGAAATGTTGAATAAGGAAGCGTGAGCCGCTGTTTTACATACGTGAACTCCTTGAACAGCATACAAAAGGCTGCCGAGACGAGTTAATACTGCTGTCAGTAGCGTGGTCAAGCACAATGTATTAGGTTGGCAGTAAAACCTTCAACAGGAATACCACGGATAACGCAGATTCAATCAACCTAAAATAACTGAAGTGAAACAATTACCGACAGCCTCATCATTTCTCACTCTGTTGTGGGTAATTTCGAGACTATCATCTGCATAATCTCAGCTGGAGCCTCCCGGTGCTACGGGCGTTTCCAGGGACGGGCGGCGCCGTTGCCTGTTGCGAGTGCTCTCATGGCGTTCCGGTCGGGTGCACGATACCAACAGTACGTAAACACGCCATCAGGCGGCTGAGCGGAGCTGCACCACATAAACAGCGCCGAGACTTCATCAACAGAGCTGTCCGTGGCCGCCAGACATGAGCGACGACGGCCGGACGACAGAGCGGCTCCGTCGGGAGCGGACACGGCGCACCACGGACCCGCCGGGACGGGGCAGCCTCGGACAGTTCAACAAACGAGGCGACCACGGCCCGGCCCGCTCGTGACACCGACCCCCGCCGGAGCTCGGCAGCGGAGCGAGTCCGCCGTGAGCTGCCGCTGGCGTCTCCTCACGACGGACAGCGGTACGGCCGGTGACACGGACACGCGGAAGCCGGACGGGGGTGGCCGGAAGCCGGCAGACCCACCCCGGAGACCAGCAACAGCGCACCCGACACTCGTACTGCGCGTGACGTCAGCGCGGCGGCCGTCGGCAGGGCGGCCGACCGACCGGCGCTCTTCAGTCGGCAGTGGACCGCCGCGCCGAGCGAGCGTACCAGGCCGCGGCTCAGCTCAGCTCAGCTCCCAGATCAGCACCCAGCTCAGCTCAGCTCAGCACGCAGCCAGCTCTCGCTGCAGCCTCAGCACACGGCCACAGGTGAGGCAGACGGCACGGCGGCCGGGCAGAGCCGTCAAACGTCCACAGCGGACAAAGGACACGTAGGACAGCAGACACGAGACGTCAGTTAGGATGACGGAGGCCGATGGAGATCATTGAAGGGTTTGAGGCAGGAACAAAACGTGCTTACTTTAGGTAAATATATTCCTGCCCGGGGCCGGGATGATTCAATAAATGTCACCGAGGTTTTTTAGCGAAAACTCCGAGGGCCGTTAGGCAAGAGGTGCTTTTCGCTAAAAAAGCGAGGTGACATTTAATGAATTCCCGGCCTTAGGGCTGGAAGGTGTTTCCCATACCTGCCAAAAAGCTCACAACTATAATTGATAGTGACGTCAGCAGCCGTGTGGTTCAACGCGTTGAACCACACCCCTTGAACCACACGGCTGGCAATATTAAAGCACTGCATTAAACTTTGAAAAGTGTGGTACAGTGCACGTGCCATTAAAATGCCTGGATGTCTCGATTTAATCATGCAATGTAGCAGGTATGGGAAATGATTAAATAATACAATAAAGCAAAATATTGTCTAAAATAACCAAAAAAAAAATCGAAAAAAGTAAAAATAGGGATCTGGGCTTAGTGTGTTTTTCGTTGCACGACTTCGGCTTCGACGACTTCGGCTACGCACATAACAAATGTCAGCGTTGCAACTAAAATGGACATTGGACATGCAATGAAACAGAAGCTATGCATACAAACAATTGTTGTTAAAAAACTTATTTTGTCAACAAACACTGGTAAAATGAGGAACATGAGAAACATATACCTATGTTTAGTAATAGGCTAGTAAGGAATAGGCTTTGTAAGGAAAGCTCTGAAGCTCCTGTGAAGTACACGATTGCTTTATCAAAATACTGCGACCGAAAAGACAGCACAAATAATGAAACACCAGGAAAATCATATTGAATGCGTGCACTAGTCGAGCATAATAGGCACCGCAGTCTCATATAAAAGATCAGCATTAAATTGAGTTATAGTTTTCTTCTTGGATTTGGAGTTCAACGAACAAACGTATTCGTTGAACACGTACTAACAATGAAAACAAACAGCAACTTCTGAGACAATGGCTAAAGCGAAAAGGTCCAACTGAGTTTTGTGCGGTTGTGGCAACAAACCGATCATTAAAATGTAAACTGACACCACATCTAGCGAAAGCGATACAGCTTAATTATTCATTCCCATAATCAAAGGACATATCCATGAATAATGCACTTGCAATATACTTCGCACTTGTGTAGGGAGAAACCACGCCGTCCATGCGCCCCAACATTGACCAGCTGCCGAGCAGAGTCTACAAACACGACACAGACGTGTTCCTGCGGACGGATGTCGCCACGTAGGTACACTATTGCTGTCGAAACTGGAGGGGTGCTGGGCGGACGAAACGGCGAGATAGTACGGTGCAGGGGTGACGGACAGGAAAAGAGGGCAGGGCGAGAGACAGGGGTAAGACGAGGAAGCGAGACAAAGAGAGTCGCAACAGGACATCGGACAGGGGCGCGGGACATGGGAGAGACCAGTCGCTTCTCAGTGGCGGCAGCAGTGAGAGTGAAGCGCAGCGGAGCGTCTCACTGCCACATTCCGGAAAACGGTCCCAGCTGACCCAGAAAAACGGCTCGATCGGGCGTCAGCAGGCGGAGCGCGGACACGGCGGCAGTCCGGCGGGATGCGGCACCAGACCGGCAGCGACGGCGCCGACCCCACGCCTCTCAGGTCGCGATCGGTAAACGCCACCGGTGCACTGCCGCGTCTGCCTGCCCCGGGGACCGCCGCGGGCCGTGCCCGGCCGTAGTGCGAGCACCCACCCCAGGCGACACCGGCCGACCGAGCCGTCAATGGGTGGCGCAACTGAGCGGCATCCGCCCAGCGGCCGCGCTGTTGACCGGTTTCTCTCAGCGCGCCAGCATGCAAATTGACCCGTCCCGTCCATACGGCCGTGTCCGGTGGGGCCGCCAGTACGCGGCCGGCCAGCACGCGCCGCCCCGGCTTTCCCCATGTGGAAACGCAGCCCCAGAGCGCGGACACGCTCCTTTTCAAACAGTTTCCTACAGCTGTAGGCTCTGCTCCTGACGTTCAAGTCACTAAAGCCGTTCGGCAGTAAGACGTAACCTGTCATCTCATCGCCTTTCAAATGGCAACATGTCTATTTAGAATGCAGAAGTGTCCACATCTCCCCCAGATCATCACTGACGTAGCTAGACATGCACCAACATTGAACATATGCCATCTGTCAGTTCAGTAGTCATGAGCCAGCAGTTTGAACACCGGATTGCACCAGTCACAGAATACAGTGATGCTATCGATGCACCACTAACCAGCAGAGTCATTCATTCGACACGCACTACCCGGTATCGCAACCATCCGCACAAGATCATCCGGAACGTAGCGCTTCTCCCATTGTACTCGGAGCTCCGATGGTGGCAGATTGAGCCATAATGACAGTCCAAGACCCGTGCACCCGTGAAGATCAAGGCACGGTATGGCACGGTACGGCAAGGCACGGTACACTTTGGCTTCGTCATTTCGTGGATAGCATACGAAAGAACTCTGATAGAGCTCCCTCACGAGATAAATCGAATACAAGGCGCGGCTAACACCAGCTTATGGCTGAATAAATAGAGAGCGTAAGACGTTTATTTCAGCATGAACATTGCATGACAGAAACCACAAAAAGTAACGCCAAGAGGATGCATCGAAAGGGATGCTTGCTGTTCCATGTTAGGATGAGGATTGAGGATACCCTTTTCCAGTGAACGTTGGGATTTCATTTCACTGTTAATCAGAACTGCTCTTACGCATCTCTTATAACTCTGTTCTTCTTTTTTCTCTTATGCGTTGCTGACAAACGCTAAATGACTCGGTCCACTCCAAAACTATCCCAGGCAGATAGTACAGCCGACCGGCGGGTTGTCCTTCACATTTCACAAGTATTTCTGGAACGCCCCTAGTTTCTTTTTGAAGTGCGTCACTCATCCTGTCATGAAACTTTACGGCCCTCAGGTTTGTCTCTTCGATGGGAGACCGTCGTGCCAGCCATACCTCTTGCCACCGCCGTCTCGTGTGACCGAAGTTCCTTTTCTGCCGACTCACCGCGCGAAGCGCAACAGAGCGGTCTCTGTTGCGTCCTGCCCTCCCGGTCCACTGCCCGCGCGGCGCGTTGCATGCCCGCGTGGCGTGCGGCCGCCATGGGGCGGTCCCGACTGCCCAGTCGCTGAGATGGCGATAGTCGGGCAGCCTCCCGGAGAGCCAGGAGAGCAGTCCGGCCAGAATCCGGCGCACGCAACGGAACTGCCGGCGCTGGCAGCGGTGGTAGCAGAGTCCAGTCTTGGAAAACGTGTAGTGGGGAGGGCCGGATTCGGAGCAGCGGCGGTAGCCGTTCAGGCTCGGAAAATGTGCAGTGAGGAGGGCAGGAGTGGCCGCGACGGCGATACCGAGGACAATCAGCGCCCCCGTCGCCGGCCCGCCGGCACCCCGCGACAATGCGGCCGCCACCAAGGCCGGCACCGTGACCAGTCTCGCCCTTGGTCTGGCGGTGGCCGGGGGACGATAGCCCGAGGCCAGGGCGCGGCTGACCCCTCCCCTGCACACTTCCTTGTCCACGACCGTGACACAGCAGGCCTCCGCCCCTGGCTGGCTCGGCGTCCGGGAGGGGCGCCCTCCCCCCTCCCCTCCACTGTATCTGTCCCGCGCAGCCCCGCAACCTCGATCGTTCGACAGCGATCAGCCCCCTTCCATAGTAACATTTCAATCTCAGAGGCCGCTCCGGGCCGTCGTGTCATCTAAGAGAAGCAGAATATCAAAAGCGCAGCACGGCCTTCAGCCCATTCCATGACCTGCTCATTATTCAAGGCTGAATTCCAGTCAGGGGACTTTCCCGCGGGGGGAATATAGTCGACCTGTCCCGCCGCGGTCTACTGACTGACGGTATCTCCAGCGATGACACAGAGCCGACCACCGGCAGCCACCGCGGCAAACCGGTGCCTGTGGTATAGCCCGGATAATCCCCATAGAACGGCTGAGCCGTGCGCTGACTGGTCAGACGTGGTCAGCTCCACAATGCCATTCTGATCTTCCATTCTTTCCGGCAGATCAAACGACTGCGGAGCGTGCGTGTGAGGCCATCGGCAGCGCAACCACTGCGGTCACCAGACATCACCAGCGCCAGGGACTCCATCACCCGCACAATCACCGCTAGATCGGCACCAGCAGCACCAGCAGCGACGGCGTCACCAGCGGGCCCACCGCGGGCGGCCGGGGCGCGCAGACGCGGAGCCGACGGCGGTAAAGAGGCTGCCCGGAGAGGCACCATCGTGCTGGCGACTGTGACGGCTCGGCAGCGGCGGTCGGCCGCGAGGCATGGCCTCACCTCAGACCGGCGGCCAGCTATGAGCGCAGCGCGGAGAGCGGCGGCCAGCCCGCTGCCGCAGCTACTGCTGGCCGCGCAGCTGGTGTGCGGCGCGGCAGCGGCCTACGTGGCGCACCAGGCCGTCTACGTGCCGACCCGGTACGGCGCGCCACCGCCGGCGCTCGGGCCGGCGCCACACGGCTACCTGGCCGTGGTGGGGCCGTTCGGATGGAGTGCGCCCACCCAGGTGCGCCACCAGGTCCACCATCACTCGACGGTGGTGCACGGCGCGCCGCCGCGGCCGCTCCAGTCTACCGGCCACTCGGCGCCGCACTCGGCCGCCAAGGCACCGACCGACGCGCCGCTACCGCCACCCAGCACCAACGACTCGTACAGCGCCTACGTGCTGCCCGGCGGCAACGGCTACTCGTACGCCAAAGAAGTCGGCAGCGGCGACAGCAGCGGCAGCAAAGGAGGCGACAGTGGCGAGGTACCCAAACTACAGCTCGACTATGGCGTGCCCGTCACCGGCTTCCTGGAGGCGCAGCTGAGCTCCAGCTCAGGAACCTCCATCAACTGGTCGATGGGCAGGACGCCGGCCAACCGGAGCCTGCCGTTGATTCCAGACGACATCCCAGTGCTCGGTGAGTAACATCAGAGTGTTTATCTCTGCCGCCTTCGCAAGGGTACTCGCCCCTGAGTTTATTCTCGCCTTTCCCATCCGGGGCCCTTGCGCTGACCAGTGCGGGTCGAATGTGCAATGTTTGGCCGGCTGGTATGCAGACACTTTCAGAAACCTCACCCGCACAGGGCGCCGTACAGGTGTGTGGGGGGGGGGGAGCCACACCTCAGACCAAGACATTGGGGCTCGGCGTGGCGCCGGGTGCCCCCGATCGACTTTAGATGTCCCTGCAGGGAGGGGCCCACGACAGACCCTGACCGCACACCCAAGACCCGGAACAGACGGCAGTGCGGCGCCGGGCGTGGTCCGAGTCCCCGCCAGTGACGCGGCGGGGGGGGGGGGGGGCGCACGTGCCACAGACGGGGAGAGCCGCACCCTCGGCAACGGCCCCGGCCCGAGCACAGCCGCCCCTGCAGATCGCTTTCCACATACACCGGTGGGGACACCGGTCAACATAGTTACAAACAGACGGTTCACCGCGGAACTGTCGGGATACGTGAGGCCTCGTGTGATTTCTCTTTATCAACATTCTATTGACCTTTCAGGGAATCGGATAAATATGGAGGCATGCTCCTATAAATGAATTCGGCCAACATTAATATTCACTGACCTTTTCTGGGGACCGAGTTGCAAATACGGAAGCTGATACTATAAACGAAATAGTTTCCTCGAATAGCCTACTCAGCAGTGGTGCTACAAACATACCGATAACGGGTTGACGAAAGTCATTGCACAACCTAAGGAAGAACCATCTTAGGATCTCTGGCCGGTTACGTGCAGTAATATCAGTGAACGGAACGTCCATCTGTGGATTTGTGCGCATCAGCGCCGGCTTAGAACGACTACTTTTTACGTAACGCATAGCTCGGGGGAAATTTTACGGGTTCCGGGTCAATCAGAGATTACTGGCTGCCAGAACACACTGAAGTGAAAGACCTCACCAACTGGCGAATGCAGCAGTGACCATCAAAGGAGACCCAAACCACAAACCACTCGCAGAGATTGATCCGAAAGTGTCCAGTTATGTCCAAATACGCGTATCGAAATAGAATATCTCCGCGTCTCAGAACACCATTAAATTTGCCAAAAAGGGAAGTCTTTCAGCGAATCATTTTATGACCAAAACGAGACCAACGACTCCTTTCGACACTGATCTCGACCCTGCGCCACCGGTCGAAGGACCGAGATCGCCCAATCCCTAAACCACACCCGAAAGTTGTCAGTGGTGTCAGGTGTGGCGGCCTGACCGCCCGGACGCTCCGGAATGGTTGGCAAGGATGGATGGAAAAGAAATGTTTAGAAGTCGAAAAGCGTGGCATTGCATCCTTACCACGGTTGACCCATTCATACCCCTGTGAGGCCTTAATCACCGCGCTCTCCGGCGGTGACCGAGTGGTCTGTTTGGCGGATATGGTGAGTCCGCAATTCAGCGTGCTGTCACGATAGCGTGAATCGGGGCAGCTACGTGTGTACCAGCGCGGCGTCCAAAAATTACGCCAGAGCACACAAACAACACACAGCGCCCGGTCGGTTTCACCGTCCAAATGACCTGTAATCGGCCGCGACGTTCGTCAGGCGAGCATCCCCGCGCCGGCGGCGTCGGACCGGTGACGCTGCCGACGACCGCGCCCACGGTCGTCGCGTGCGGCGCGCTGTGTCCCCGCCGGCGGCCGTCACTTTCGCCGTCCGTCGCCACAGTCTCAGGGCATGTGGACACCGGCCGGTCGGTCCAAGAGCTCGACCAGAAGCCGTCAGTGGCCTCGGCCGTGCCCGAGGGTAGACGAGGTGGGCTGCCACCGACGACGAGCGTCGGCCGTGAATCATAGTAACTCGGACGGCGGTAGTCCGTCGACCCGAGAAGAAGCCCTGACTCCTCGTATAAAAAAGGCGTCTGAGATGTGTATTGGCCAGCCGCACCGTCGGTGATGCCTACGTCATATCCCGCTCGCACCTGTAGCTATTCATAGATCTGCGCTGGGTGATAAAAGCGCGCCCATCGCACCAGTCCGCAACCTGCTGCTGATAGTGACCCGATGAACCCCGCAGCACGCGCCATGCGATAACTACCACCGAGGTCAGTGTCGGCCACCAAGGGTCAGTGCCGGGTCACTGAGGTCATCCAGGGTTACTACCGCCGCGCTCACTGCAGAACTCCACCGACACACAACTTCGCCTCCGCCTCCAAGCCTTTTTAATTACGGAGCGAGCGAAGCGAGCGTAGTCTTTCCTTAGATTAACGGAAATTTCTGAGTATGAGCGGCCGGCCGGCCGGCCGGCCGGCCGTGGTCACGCTTTTGCGAGGCTTATATCTCAGCAACCACTTGACCGATTTACACGCGGTAATTTTTGTAGGGTAGCTTCATTCCTTCTACCAAGTATTGGACTATTCCCGATGCATGTGGGTGACCCCTTATGCACGTGCCACGTGCAAAACGAAGAGGTGTCACTTTTGTAATTGTTGCAATATCTCGGTAACTACTTGGCCGATTGCGCTGAAAGTTGGCATGTAGGTAGGCACCCACTAGGCACTGCATATACATGTGCCAGAGTTGGGGCGCTGCTGCACGTGCGCACGTGCAGGGGTCGTTTCCAGATCTCGAGAACGGCTCGACCGATTGCGCTCAAATTTGGTACACAGTTAGGGACCGGTTAGTAGGGTGCCGTGCACAAGTCAGTTGGGACCCATTTTGCACGTGCGCACGTGCAGGGTGCCGCTTCCAGATCTCGAGAACGGCTGGACCGATTGTGCCCAAATTTGGCACATCGCTAGAGACCAGTTAGTAGGGTGCCGTGCACAAGTCAGTTGGAGGTACCCCCTCGCAATTTCGCACGTGCAAGGCCCACCCTCTCGCTCGCTCCGTTAGTCGCCCCAAAAGGCGTTATACTGGTTTCCATCCCGGCGCGACAGTCGACGTTGCCGGCTCCCTACTTCTCTCTCTACTTCCCCTCACTCTCCCTGCCCGTATGGTGATTCCACACCGGTTCCCGCTGACACGGGTGACGACAGGCCGCACCCGCCGCTGTCGATAGGCCGCGCGCCGCCGCGCCGCCGGCCCGATACCTCTCATTAGCCGCACACTAACTGTTGCTTTCCATCTCGCCGGCGCCCGGACGCGATGGCACGTGAATTCTGACGAGGTTTCTTCTGATGAGCGGGCCCGGTCCGGTCGGGGCGGCGCCGCCGTCCGGACCCGGGTCCGGCGTCCGGTTCCCGGTTCCCGGTAGGTGAATGGTGCTGATTGGGGTAGCTCGGTATTGGGAAGACGCCGGTTGTAGATGTGACAGGGAGAGGAGAGCAGGCATGGCACCCATCGACGCCGCTGCACAGCGAGTTCACAGCTGGTCCCGCCAAGGTCATGCGTAGAATCACCGGCATCGACATTGAGGCATTAAATGGGGCATCGACCTCTCCCCGGGGCTTTGACTCGTTCCCGCTCTCATCCCATCTCAACCCAACCCCTACCCCTGCGCGGTCACCAATCCCAATCGCCCCGTCTCCATGCATCATTCCTTGCGCGACCACGCAGCTCATCTCTAACGCTCGGTGACGCCGCGGCACCCCCGCCGAGGAGCGATGCACTGCAGCAGATTCCGGTGAAAGTTTCCGCCACAGTCCGATCGAGCGTGTCGCCCCCAGCGCGAGCCACACGCCCGGTCAGTTACGCCACCGTGTCAGTCCTGCAGCCGACCGACCGGCGGCGGCTTAGCGTCCATTGAGCCAATTTGTACCGTCGCCCAGACGACGAGTTGCATAATGATAGGCGATGTGGAGTCTATTGACACGCCACGTACGGCAGAGATGATTAGATTGAGCGTGCGTTCCACAGATACTGATTTAGACACGCGTTAAGAGGATTATCCTCAAATCCTGCGGTATCGACAGTACTACTGAGGAGCTTAATTGCCGCGTAAATCATCGGCAAACTTCCGCAGATGGCTGTCGGTGTTGAAAGCTCGTTTGAGAGGACCAGTGCTACTCACACACTTCACTCGCAGGTGACGTCACATAACGCCTCTTGACCTCTGACCTGATAGCCCCTGATCTGACCTGACCGGTCTGCCACAGGGGACGACCTGCCCGACGACGGGTGTGCGCGAGACGAGGTCCGCCTACGGTCGACGAACCGTTGGTACATCGCGTCCGAGCCATGTCAGCCGATACTACAGCAGGGCTGTTGTCCGGAAGGCCAGTGGGTGGTCGTCAACAAGTACACACGCATGGTGAGTGGTTCGACGCGCGGTGGTGAGGCATGGGACGTGTGATAGCTTATGGGTGTACGGGTGCCAGGTGTAGTACACACTGCGGAGAGATCAGGAGTGGTGAAGGAAATGTGGCATCACTAGGTGACAGTAATGCTGTCGGTCCCTTTGACTGCCTTCGCCCTTCCTTGTCATAATTTAAATCTTAAAAGCGAATTAGCGTCAACTAGGCGAGCATATACCTCCAGTTGAAATACGTGTTAATTTGAGTGGCACAGTAATTTACACCACTAATGATGACAGCTAATGACCGACCAATCACACAAGTTGAACTTTGGTCACGTTCGCCTCTGTCAGTATGAGTCGACCTCTGACACTGGCGTCCGCCCTCCGCCCCTCTACCTATCGTCTCGACGTTACTTCGTTCCTCTGGGCTCTGACCGTTTCGACGCCGCTCTTTCCTCAGGGAGAGTGCGCGCCCAGACTCTGTCCGTCCGGCTTCGCCTTCGTCGAGCGGGACGGCCTGTGCCACGATCTACAGGAGGAGGGACTCTGTCCAGGTACGTCGCTGCCCAACGTCTGTGTCACATGCTGCTACCAGCGACAGAGCAATAGCAACCACACACACTTCCATGCTCAAAAACAGTTCCGTCGCCAGTTCGCCACATGTCACACTGGCGCAAATGAGTTGCTCACTGTGGAGAATACCGATGACTGCCCGATGTCACAGATTCCAAAGAACTGTCTGACTAAAATCAGCTACTGTGTCTTGTGTGACCGCCGCCTGCCGGTGCCGACAGACAACCGTCGCGTGTACGTCACGGCGTTCGGTGAGCCACGCTGCGGCTGTGCCGACGGCGAGTACGTGGACACGGCCGGCGAGTGTCGGCCGCTCTACAGCACCGTCGGCTGTCCGTACCGACAGCAGCTACGCTTCAACGCCGCCTTCAAACTCGAGTGCCAGCCGGCCGTTTGCCCTAAAGAGAGGCCAGTGCCCTTCCAGGGCTGGTGTAAGAACTTCGGAGATGTGAGTATGATCGGGGTGGGGAAGGGCGCTCTTGAACGTGCACCGAGACCGTCCTTTAACCGCTATACCGACTAGACGGGACAGAGCAGACTAGTTAGACTGGTTTTGGGGAGCTAACTGAACAGGGACTAAGCAGGCATTCGCAGATATGACCAAACATGACCAAACAGCGCTTCCGTAGTCCTTGAAGCGCTTAATTCCGATAGAGCTCATCATCGTTTTGCAGTGTCACTCGCCGTGTACGGGAGCGGCAGCAGCCCTCCTCTGACGACCCGCCGCTCCCCGGTTTCAGTCCTGCGGCACCGACTACCGGTTTGTGCTGGGTTTCGACACCACGCGGCTCGAGGCCAAGTGTTACCCGTCCGAGGAGCTGGATATTGGCGGCCGGCACAGCGCGCACACCCCCACCACCACGGCTCCGGCACCCACCGTGCCCGCTCTGCAGGACACATACCTGCCGCCGCCGGGCCAGGGCCGCGTGCAGTACGCGCGCCGCACGGGAGCGGCGCGCGGCCGCTGGCTGTGGCAGCGCCGGCGCCGCCAGCAGCGGCCGGGCCTGCGCCGGCGCCGGCCGCCGCCGCAGCAGTTCGCTCCGTGGTCGCGGCTAGACGTCGACCAGGTGACGTTTGTCGACAGTGAGCGCGTCAGCGCCGAGCAGCTGGCCAAGTTCGAGCGCTCCGGCCAGGCGGGCCGGCGGCGACGGCGCTTCCGGAGACAGATCTTCGCCGAGGTGCCGCTGCTCAACACGTGTAAACCGGGCGCGCGCAGCGGGCCCAACTTCAAATGTCGCGACAAGTGAGTACCGTGTCGGCGATCCCACACATCAATCACACGCATCTTCTCCCCAGGCCCGTCACGCACGCGCTGCTGTCACCGTAGCGCTCTTTAGTCAGCCGGCGGCCGGTCGCCACATGTCGCGGACAACCGCGTCATTAGCGGTCGCCTCCGGTCGGCCACGTCACCGGAGCCGAGCGCCGCGCGCACTTTCCGTTTTTCACCTGCAGGCTGTTCACACGGGAGCGTTTCACAGGCGGTTTCGTGTCAGGGACGCGGCGACGAGCGGTGACTGGTGTTGAGACAGGCGTTCTGGCGCACACCTGCACAACTGACCGGGCTTTGTTATTGCGTCTGTTTCAGAGCACTGCCCGGCTCCGGCTCACGGTCGGCCCGCAGTCCCGTACCGCCAGCGAACGCGCCCAAATGTCCAGCGGTAAGTGTCCGCCTCGAGCGCCAGCCATGAACGGTCCTCGATCCAACGCTGACCTATCCGGCGTCTGACATCTTTACTGTGCACGGGAAGTGGACAGAAACCGCTAGTTTTCACTCAATAAAGAAGTTAAGTAAGCCCCGGTCCCACTAGGCGTTGCGACCACTTACGACCGCCTACGACCCAAATCATTGCCGACCACCGCCGACCATCACCGAATGCTGCAGATCCATCGTAATTACGGTCACATATATAAAGGGTCGGCAATCATCGTACGACTAATCGCACAAGCGGTGGCAGACCATCGTACGAAGTTTGCCGAACCAAGAAAAAATTGGGGCATGAGTCGTACGAATGACGGGCGAAACTCGGTGACAGCCGTGAGTACGTCATGCAATAGGTAACGACTGGCCGCCGACGATTGAAGATCTGTTCAAGACCTATCGCCGATTGCCGCACGATTGGTAAAGAGCGGATGTTCCGCTAACCATATTAGTGGCAAGGGGGGGTTGTTTACATCCATCCCTGAGGCTTTTCGAAAATATCTTCGAAACGGCTGGAGCTAGGATGCCGAAATTTTCTGACTTTTCTTAAAACTAAGCTGGGCACTTTTCCTGGAAATTTTAAGTTGATATCTTTATCAGGGGCGGTTCCAGGGCATGGGGAATCGGGAGGTCCTATTCGTGAAGCGAGTCATTTAGTTAAAGATCACAATGCTGATGCATTATAACTGTAATTATTCATTATGTAGGTATATCAACATTATTTGTAGGTATAACAGCTTTAGAAGTGAACTAGAAACGGATCGTAGGCGGTTCCAGGAAAAAGGAGAGAAGGTCAATGTCACCTTCCACCTTCGGTGCCCTGATGCCGCCTATGAATATTCAATCTAATTTTAGTCATTTGATCATACGTTTTTGTATCATAATGAGATTATTAATTTGCCAGTCCGTTTTGGTGACAGCACCAACAAAACATCCGACTGATAATGTATTTCATGTGCCTCCAAATTTCATAACCTGAAGGAATCCGGCTATGAATTTTCGAAATGCTTATTTTTGTAATACATGTCAAATTATTATTCATCCTGCATCGATCGGCAGTAGTTGCGTCAAAATTGGTTGAAAAACATGGCCGTGGTGAGGAGTTGAAAAAGCATCTGAAATGTGTAGTTTCTATCCCCTCCCTACCGCCCCCTATTTGCGTTTTTGGGACTTTCTCTCTTCAAAATGTAGATCACGTTGAGGGAATCGAATGCCATTCGAATTTTGGAAATCGGTTGGTTATATTTTGACACCAGCCACATTTTCGGGTCAGGTCAGGTCAGACCTATGGCGTCAGAAGTGAACCTCTGCACGATCTACAGAAATCGCAACTTCGCAACGCTCTCAGTGCCAGAGGAGCTTTCACAAGGAGATTAAACTTACAGGACGTAGTAGAGGTCTCACAACTTGTATATCTCAGATTTTTCCCAAAGGTCACATGACGAAAGGTCGGTTACGTGACTTCACCATTTCAAGTCAATGGGGGAAAATAATAACTGCTATTTTGACGCCGGGAAAGATCTTAAGCTATCCCAACCCCAAGCATATCGAATCGTGATTTCATGCACTCTTTGCAAGTTTAATGCGTCACTTTTGCATTGTTGACCTTGCATGGCGTCATTAATGACGTCACTAGGGTCATATCAGTTTTTCGTCAATAACTCCCGATCCAATTGAACTAGCGAGTCGGGACTCGGGAGAGCCACCATTAGACTTAAGAAGACCTGCCAAATTAAAAGATATGCGACATGATCTCATTCGACAAACTTCGTGACCTGTAAGCCCTGGCCTGACCGTGACCTGAGTTCAACCCCAACAAAAAGTATATCATTCGATTCGACAAGTCTCAACAAGGCGAACACGATGATGTCAAAATCGCGGCTTTGCGGCCTCTTTTAGCCAAGCTATTCATCAAAAACTGAACCCATAACTTATGGCACTTGACCTGACGTAAGAGGTCACCGGTTGACCTAAGACCTTAAAATCGGGTGTCAATAACTGTGTCTCGTAACGGCGCACACGCTTGTTTTTCCTGAGACGCGCTAGCTCCATCAGAGGCGAAACGGGGAGGGGGTCGTACCCGCCCCCCCCCCCCTCTCGGCCGGCGCGTAGAAGATGTGTCCGGCGATGGTTAAGATCTCGTTCTTTTCCAGAGTCAACTGTTCAGCAATTTTCGTTTTCTTGGTCACATTCCGTGTCGTGTCCCTCATGTTCTGGAGCTGGGCCGCCTGGAATGGTCGGTATTTTTGGGTCGGATCCCACCTCCGACTCGTGAGAGGCACTATATAGTAGTCGGTGCATCATTTCTTATTTCTTCTTGCGCTGTTTTTATTTGAAAATCTACTGGAAATGGACGATTTTTTACGTATCTCCTTCATCGTCTACGGCTGATCTCAAAGTGAGAGCACTATGTTCGCAGCCGTGTGATAAGGGTCGGTATGAGATCTGAGATGTCCGTACCGCTGTCGTCGACTGATTACCGACTAGTGCCGTGCAATCGGCCACCATCGTGTGATTGCTCGGCGATCGAACCTTGGTGGTCTCGCGACTGGTTGCTGATGTTGGGAAGAACGTCGTGCGATTATCGGTGACTTGCATACGACCGCCGACCGCTCCCGACTGCACGCGACCACCGAAACCTGTCGTGCGATACTCGCCCTCCTACTAGCGAACAATGAAATACTTGTTGCGGTTTCTCGCGAACTCTTTGCGACCAAATCGGTCGCCAGGAGGTTTTTAGTGCATCATCAAAAACCTCTTGGCGACCAAAATGACCTCGCGACGTCTGAAGACAAGTCGTTCATATCAACATCCAATCGTACGAGCTCTTGAAGAATTGCGACAACCTTTTGCCGATCACCGATCGTGGGCGGTCGTAAGTGGTCGCATCGCCTAGTGGGACCGGGGCTTAAGCACCCACTCTAAGACCCCAACTCAAATCGATAGCAGATGACCAAAGTGTAGACCTGTATTCTGTGGTCGTTTTTCACCCGCAGCGATGCGCATCCAAGGCTCCCACGGTTCCGAACCGTGTGCGAAAGTGAAGGGGAATCGCGTCATTCTGCGCTATGTTTGCACTGGTCCCGGGTTTAAACCAGGTAGCCGACGATAGCAGGCGGACACGTCAAGTGTGACGGTCGCCGAGCAGCAAATGGGTCAGCTAGCTACCGGGACAGATTGGGTCTGTTCCAGTCGCAATTCCTAACACTTCTAAACTCCTCAAAGAGCAAGATAGAGGAGGTTGGAGCAGGGCCCTCATTGGCTTTGTAGGGGCTAGAACTGCCACTGGAACAGGGAAGCAATCTTGGAGGACTTAAGAGGTGTTAGGAAGTGCGACTGGAACAGACCCATTGTCTTCTTTGGTGATTCTCACACTCTTCCATCCTATCATTCCCAGGACTAGACGGACCAGTCTTAACTGACGCCCCTCCCCTACTTTCTATAGGGACAGCGGCTGGACGCGCTGGGACGGTGTCGACAGACGGTCGGCGGGCTTGGCAAGTGAGCCGCCGTCGCCGCCGACGCCGACGATCGACACCACCACCGCCACCGCAATCAGCCAGCCACCACAGCCAGCCAGTCAAACGCTGCGCGGGAGATACAATCGTGCAATGGCGAGTGGCGAACCGAGCGGTGCGCACAAACACTGGCGAGTGGCCGGTGGCGGTAGCGGCCACCGTGTGCAGGGCCAACCGAGCAGGGTATTGTCACAGCGGCCTCCGAGACGGACTCGTAATGAGGTGTCGCGCAGACAGACAGACAGACAGGCCGAGAGGGCGGCGTGCCCGAGCGTACCTCGTCCGCGCCCGGCCGCCGCGCGAGTGTGAAGTGTGAGTGACAGCGTCCGGGTCCGGCGGGCGCAGTGTATCCCTGCCAGCATCTGCGGGCGAGCCCACGTCCGCCTGTGTTTGTATTTGTGTGTTATTGAGTATCTGACAACCGGCCGCGGTCTACCCGCGCCCGAGTGTCAGTCAGAGTGGTCAATATAAGCGCCAGTCAGCCGGCGGGGACCGTGAAAACAGCACCAGCAGCCGCCACGGGAGGGTAATCGGTACTCACCCCTTGATGAGGATGAGCTCGTCGTCAGAGATGCGCTCCTGTACTACCTCTGTGGCGTCACCGAGCGCAGACGCCTCGAAACTCTCCTCGCCTGAGGAGAATCCAGGGGAAGTGAAACTGGGAATGGTGAGGGTTCCGAGAGGAATGATAAAACAAAGGGAAAGATTGTACTGAGGGAGATAAAAAGACGGATTGGGGAGATAAGGACTAAGGAGTCCAACCGGGGTCTGGGCAGAAAGGTCTGGGAAGGGAGACAGATCCGGTCGCTAGTGAGGTAATTAGGGCGGCTGAAGAAAAGGAGGAATTCAACTAGGGAGGTAGAGGGGTCCGACTGGGGAAAAGAGGAGTCAACCAGGAGAGGTAGGGGTCAGTCTGGGAAGATGAGGGTTCCACTAGGGAAATGAGGGGCTCGAAGAGAAAGGTTATGGGTCTCACTGGGAAAATGAGTTCAACTTAATGGGAAGATATCAGATAAGGTGATCGATAGGGGAGATGAGCCATGAGGGGTCCGCCAAGTGAAATAAGGGGCCACACACTGGTGGGATGATGGTTCTGGCTAGGAAGATTAGGGGTACCTAATTCCGCTGAGGAGATGGTGGGCAGGGTTGGCGGGAGCGTGAATGTGATTGGGGAGGGGATGTCAGGTTACACCGATGGAGGGGCCACGAGTTAAATTGGTTAGAGGAGACACCACATGCTTGGGAAAGATCAGAAGGTAAAGAAAGATCAGACAAAGGACCCATGACGAAGTAACAGGCGACCAAGGCTGGTGATAACGATGCCGGGTTTTACAGGCACCTGGGTTGCAGTTGTCATTGGCGCCAAAGTAACCGAATCAACAGCGTCACCCGACCGACGTCGCCATTGGAACGTGTTAGACACTAGACAAGACGTCACAACACGTTTCAGTGAGCACGGAAACAAAATGCTAACAACAGCTGCTACCCAGGCTACGACCGGCATTTCTTGGATAAATGGAGGGTAATTTAATTGGACAATGTGTCAGGCTTTAATTCAGGACATGCCGAAATGACAGCAAGCATAAGGCTCCACACACGTAATGAAGGACCTCTACGAAAAGCTACTCCACGTATGGCTCTATGGTTTCAATTAGCTCGTGCATCGTGAAATCGTAATGAATTAGCGCTTGCTACATCCATTAAGCTTCATGTTACACGTCAGAAGTCGTGCGTCTAATGGAACACAAACTGAAAGTTCACAGGCATGACACATGATTGACTTCACAATAATGTACTGGAAAAGCCTGGTTTGGAGCTGGTCACGACTCGCGCGACAAACCTTCTGTCGAGGTTATAGCACAAAGGGGTGTTAGGGCGCCGGGGATCAGGGCAACAGTGCCTCAGGGCGTCAGGTATCAGGAGTGATCAGTCCTTACCTTCCATGTTGGCGAGGGATGTGACGAACTGCGCGCCGGTTGCCTTGGCGATCCGTTTGAGATCCTGCTTCTTGCAGCGACGTACCGCCATCGCGCCGGCCTCCACGAAATACTGGGGAAACGCGCGGCGTACAGAGTGAATGAAGAGACTTTACTCCTCAGCCTGCGGCACTGGCCAGCTATCTGACCCACTGGGAACTGACCGACCCGCTAACTATTGGCCAATTGGATACAACAGCAAAAGGCCGAAGTCAGAATACTGCGACTGATGGTGGCATTAGCTACATAGACAGCAAAACTACTACAACTTGCTCCAGCGCGTCGAGACTAACGCTGAACACAAACTTCGGACAAGCACAGAGGGCGCCCTACTGTGCTAAGCTACATCATCATCCACTGTTCACCAGCTCCACACAAACTGTCCCTATCCGCTACCCTAGCTTCAACTCTCCCTTCCCATACATAGGCCATTCCACACATAGACCATCCCTCTTCCAACACTGACCTTCAGGCAGAGGTCGTCGATGCCTCCGGTCGTTAGAATGACGTTGGCGCCGGCAGCGATGATCTTCTGGATGCGTTCCTTGGTGATATCAGACTCCCGCAGCCGGATCCGCTCCAGCTCCTCGGGATCTTCGACCAGCACCTGCCCGTCCAGATCGCCCGATCGGTTCATAGTTCGCACGAGATCGGTCAGTGGTTCAGATACGCGGATCAGTCTATAGTGCCACCGTGTTAGGGTAAGAAGGGGATACGACAGACCGGGAAGAGGCAAAGAGAGGGTCATCGAACGATGCAAAGTTCACCGTTGAACATGGCCGGACCTAAGGGAATTTAGATGGTTCCCTAGGCTACTGCGGCTACTCTGATGGCTACTGTATAGCCTCCACTCTTCCCCTTCCCCCACACAAGCATTTTACCCAAGAATCCAACTTGTTGTGCAGCTCTCCGAATCGTGTACGGGTAAAAGCTTCTGGAATCTGGGTTTCAAATAATTTAGCAGCACCTGGCCATTCTCTCAGCTATTTGGACCCACAGCTTCGTCACAGTTGCCATCCCTGATCCCAAAGCTCCCAAGTCGCATATCCCTCCCCGACACATACCTGCACACCCATCTTCATCTTAGTCTTTTGCAGCGAGAAGTCCAGACACGCGATCTTGGCGTTGGCAATACGTTTCACCATGGCCTGTGACGCTACTGTACAGTTGAGCGCGTAGCCCTGAACCAGTACCGACTCGCGCGCCGACTTGCCGTGGGCCTTCAGCACGTTCACCGCCTTGATGGGGTACCGGTGGCCGCCCTTGCCGTCGCTGATCTTGATCGCCTGGGCGGCGTCGACCACCATCTTGGAGAAGAACTCAGAGTCGGCGCCGATGATTTTGCTCGACATGGAAGTCTGCGCGGCGTTGACGATACACTGGCTGTCCAGTGAGGCGATGGGCATCGCCAGGTGGCTGGTGATGTATTTACACGCCTCCCTGCAGGTGGAGAGAGACCGAAACACTGGTTAGCCGATAGAGCGGTGGGATGCCATCGCCAACGGGGGATAGGATCGCTAGCGAACGCCAGGCAGGAGCGAAGGGGAGAAGTGACCGGCAGGGTAGGATGAAAAGCAAACGGCCGTGACAGATTTTGCGATCTAAGGAAATCTGCACTACGAATACGAGCTAAAAGCAACATTTTTAGCCGCCGTGATAAGCTACTCAATATGTTGGCGATCAAGCACACATTTCAATAAGTTATTAGCAGGGGCGCGGGAACTACTTTCAGACTGGGGGGGGGGGGGGGGCACACCATAATAGAAATCAACCTAGGGTACCCCCAAATTTAGTTTTCTCGACGGTTTTAGGCCACTTAATTTTCATCCCTTGGCTTTTTCAACAAAAAAATAAAACATTTGCAAAAAAAGTGCGATATTCCGTCTTAAAGTTGTGGGGGCACCGCCCCCACGGCCCTAGAGTTGGGGGGAGGGGGGGGGCAAGCTGCCCCCACTGCCCCCCCCCCCCCCCGGTTCCCGCGCCCATGGTTATTAGCATATACAAAACGTGACTCAATACCGTGAATAAATTTACAACGCCTGCCGACCACCTAAGCGGACAAGCGCCGTCAGGTGGCGCTCCCATATCGCTCAGCAGCTGCTGGGCAGCTCGGAGTAAGTCACACTGAGAAGTCACACGGTTAAGTCACATAAGACGTGAGCTGCCGTCGTGGCCGCTGTGTGCGTACTTGCAGGCGAGCCTGTAGCCGGCGATGACCGACGTCGGGTGAATCTTCTGCTGCACCAGCTCGTCGGCGTTCTTCAGAAGCTCGGCGGCCAGAATCACCTGGCGTCACACATCATCACATAACATTAGGCTCTGTGTACTCTACCACGCCACATAGTCACGTACACGTATTTCAGCTTGGGTGATAAGTATGTCAAACACAGCGCAATAACGTCAAACAACGTTAACCCATACAACCTGTCCTTCTCCCCTGCAACAAGCCTCTCTTGCTTCTCACTGCAGTAAAGCTCCTTCAGCAGACCCATATAAATTCTACCTTACGATGTCCCCTATCATCCCTGTCAACATGTTCCATGTTCATAAACACCCTCCCTTAAGTCCATAACATACCATAACCTCCCCCCAGCCTCTCCCCATCATACCACCCTCGCTGCGCGCCCCCTCCCCTTCCCTTCCTCTCCCTCCATTACCCCGCCCTTTCTTACCACGCTGGTCGTGCCGTCGCCGACCTCCTCGTCCTGCAGCTGGGCCAGCTCGACCAGCACCTTGGCGGCCGGGTGCTCCACCTCCAGCAGCTGCAGGATCGTGGCGCCGTCGTTGGTGATGGTGACGTCACCGATGTCGTCCACTAGCATCTTATCCAGGCCGACCGGGCCCAGCGATGATTTGACGATGTTGGCGATTGACTGAGCGGCCATCACTGCCGCGAGTAAGACACATCAGAGGAATGTATGGGGTGGAACGAAGTGAGACAGATCAAAAGGAATGAGATGGGAGTGAATGGGACAGACAGGATGAGATAGAAGTGGGAAGATGAAATGAGAGGGACGAGATAGGACGGGACGGGACGAGAGGGGAGGGACGGGAAGGCACGGAATGGAATCGGACAACGAGACACGGCCACAGAAGTAACAGAGCAAGAGTATGGTAACGCAGCCATTTACGTAACTGCAATACGTACATAGGTGGGAACATAATTTCGATTGAACATTGGGAGTAGACTCCCCCTAACATACAGGCAATATTGTATAATGAAGCAGCCTGGGACCGTTCAGACAGCAGCGGGCAGAGTAAGCGGTTGGGTACTCTGTGGGACAGGGGAACTTGTGCCGGTTCTCGGTGGCTTACCGTTTTGTGTGCGCACACTCTGACCAGTGGTGCGCTCTCCCGGCAGGCTCAGCAGACTCTGTACACTCGCCATTGTGTTCGGTTGTGGCTAATCACTTAGTCTGGAATAGAACAGACAGCGTTAGCGAGGATCGACACAGACATAGCCCCCCCCCCCTTGTAGAGGTTAATGACCCAGTTAGCGTAGATC